GAGTGGCCATGAAGAAGCTGCCGAGAACACCGACTGCAGGTTAGGGCTAGCTGGTGAAAGCGGCTTTGACAGCAACGACGTTCGACCGATGTTTCGACGCAACATCGTCATGTTGAAGCCCGCTGAATTGTTGATGATTAAAAAGAACACCGAAGAAAAACTACACAACCTTGCATCAACGTCGGCTACCAAGCGAAAATCAAATTTGCTCGCTTGTGCAAACGACACTGCCACAGACGAAGCTGCGGCTGGCTCACATGTGATGGATACGCGCTTCACTTTGGTGAGCCACGATGCTCTTAACGCTATGCAATCGAACATGAAGCGCAAAAAGTGCGGCGGCGATGCTTCAGTGCACCTACGTGAACGCCAATATACAGCCTTGCCATAAAGATTGTTACGTCGCGCGAGATCTGTGGTGATAATGGGCCCGTGTGGAGTTCACCACGCGTGAACGACAGAAAATCGTGAAACCCTTTCGTCGTGAACATTCTTGCCGTGCGTGCAATGAAAAGCACTGGCAATCAGCAGACTGCGTTGAATGACATTTTCACTAATGAATGTGTCTTCCCGCGACATGCATAGAAAAACATGGCAGGCACATCTGAACTCGCAGATGACGCCCGCCATGACTGCAGCTGCTCTGACAAATACATATCAGAAGGTGCGCTCGCTGTTCGCACTCTTTACCACGAACTAAAGCTCAGTGACCCAGGAAACATTGCCGTTTCCTACAATGTTTTTATTTATTTATTTATTCCTAATACCCTACAGGTTTCGAAGAGCATCAAGTAGAGGGGGGTTGCAGAAAATTCACTACAAATAAAGCATAAAAATAAACTGCAGCAAGGAAAAAAACAAAGAAAATATACAATGGAGGAGAAAAAAAGAAGCGCTATAATACATTGTAGAAAAACATCTTTATACAAAAATCAAGAGAACATATAAACTTGCAAATGCTCACGAAATCTCACAGGGTCACTTAATGAAACGATGTCATCAGGAAGACTGTTCCTAAGTGCTACGGCGCACAACAAAGCATAATTATTGAATGACAGTGTTTGGCCGAAGATGTGTCTGGAACTGATATGATTATGAAGACGCCGTGATGTACACGAAGGAATTTCCATCGAGAGACGACTGGTCCAAGAGATGTAGTGGTATTTATGGAAGATGCATAGAAGGGTGATAGAGCGGCGGGAATCTAAGTTAGGGAGGGCAATATCGCGTTTGATTTGGGTGATGCTGGAATAGTGATTGTACTTTGAAGTTACGAAGCGGGCTGCACGGTTTTGGATGGATTCAACTATATCTGTTCATGGATGACGTGTGGACACTCATCCCATATCTGTGTTGGCGCTGTTATAGGACTTTTCATGAGTTTCGTTCTTGACTATGTGGTACTAAGTAATTATTGCGCTGTGTGCAAAAGGGGACCGAGAGAAGGAAATCCAAAGTACCAGTCGTGGAAGGAGAGCCACATATGCCAAAAGAACTCTAGAGAACAATCTGGGGAAATGCAAGTGGAAGCTGGACTGATGCTTTTTCAGAGATAACTGGAAAAACACAACCTCAGGTATAGAACAATACTTTCATGCGGTGGCAGCCACACCTTCCTTGGGCTACAGGAAGCCAAATTGTATGGCTATATTCCAATCAGCAACTGTGTCAACCATGTTGAAAAACAAGTGGGCACAGCATTGCGTAACTAAGCAAAAGGGGGCTGGAGCCTTGGTGGCTGGGGAAAACTGACTGGCGACCTGGTTACTAAGCTCACTTCCTATTATCGCTTGCCACTGAAGAGCAATAAAGGTGACGTAAAGGCCATGCAAAGAACTGTCAAGGCAACCTATCACCACGTCACCTCTAATGACGAAGGGTCCAACCACAGTTCGTGCCGCCAAAATGCAGCCACAGCAAAAGGCCACCTCATGTCTGCAAGGCCCTTTTGCCCATCTACAAATCGGATGAAAGGCTTCTTAAACAGTGCCACTGAGGGAAAATGTAGAACAGCTAAACAGCGCTATGCATCCAAGCTGCTGTGTTGAAATTCAATGTTGTAAATGAAGCAGCCTCAGCAGCAATCCTGAAGGAGCTGCACGTCAATCCCAGACTCTACGCAAAAAAAAACGCATGGGAGAAAAAAAGACCACCACAGATCGACCAAATCAGATACCAAGCAGGCCTCTGCGGGAAACATGCAGCGAGCATTCAAAAAACGTTATTTAAGTGACGCAAAACATAACGACCATTCCTGGTGCCTACTGAGAATGCTGAATTTGTAAATTATTGCAAATGAACAACCCTTTCATGTTACTGTTTGCCCAAAATGGACTCGTATATTTGCATGATTTCTCAGGATTCAAATTTTGCAACCTTTTTAAACTTGTCTAAAATATATCGCCACTTCAAGAGCAGCTAGGACCGCCTTTTTTGTTGAGATATGCAGCTGTATCTTTAATTTACAGAATGGTAGGTGTGAGTTTTTGATTGAGATCTTCAAAAATGTTATTTTTGCCAGAAATTGAAGCATGAAATGGGTGTGTCTGCAACACTAAAATGCAAGGTGCAACAAACCTTGCTAAATATCATCAAATAAAAAAAGCACTCTTACTGTTATGTGGATTATGTTCATTAGTAAACAGGCATGTGCCAATAGTAGCTCTCCAATACAAATTTCTGGTGTCATCATATTGGCAAACAATAGGTAAATTTAGAATATTTCAAGAACTAATTGGTTTAAGAGAAAAGTAATTACATATTCAAAAACAGCATAAAAAAACCACACTATGAGTTTTTTTTTTAAACACATATTAATATCTGGCATTTCCTCTCAAGTACAGTGTCCCCCTTTAAAAGTGTTGCCTCTTGTAACATTTCACTCGACAAGCAACAATAAACTGCAGTCAAACCTCGTTATAACAAAGTTGAAGAGGAAGTCCTAATTACTTTGTTATAAACATTAGTTCGTTATAGCCAATATCTATTTCTACCAACGATTAGCCAGCAAGAGAGAATGTACTCACCAACGAATATCACAGCTGCCCTCCGCGTATATTAAAACGGCTGTAGGAAGGCAACAAACTAGTAAAATAATAAAGAACAATGCACTTTATTTCCACCAAATTCAGCACATCAGCTGAATTATCCGATCGAAGAAAAATATTCCTCAAAAGACTTTTGCCGGCTCTTCCTCACACGGATGACTGCTTTTTTTCAGCTGCAGCAGCTACAGTCGCAACGCCTAAAACCGCTTTCATGAATGAACCAAACAGTTGCATTAACACGTTAACACCAGAAGCTGTCCGCCGTCAAAAGTATCCCACAACGACGAGTTGGAGGCAGGGTATCGTGGAGCGGCGACTTTTGCATTATTCTATGCCATTCTTATCGTCGATCACTCGCGGCTAGCTGATTTTGTTGATTATGTGGACGAACAGCCGTTCTGATTTAGTTACCACACTGGCCAAGCGCGAACATAATGATAAGCATCAGAACTGAAAAAGGCATCGTGCCGTGGTTGCACCAAGCAGCTGCGAGAAGGAAACCTTGAACTGAGCGAGTGAGCTTCAGGTTCAGATCGTCTGCCACTCAAGAGCAAGCCAGTGGCAAAACAAAAAAAGCCAGTCGCATTGCCATCGCTATCGAGCAATGGTGGCGCCCATGCTTGCTGAACAGCGGCAGTTTCTGGTGGTATCAACGAGTGTTTTAGACTTCGTTGATGCATTTTCAGGCTCTGAAAATGCATCGAAATGTTAAAGATTGGGTTTAATGCATAGCAATAAGTATCCGAGCCTGGAATTGCACCATAAAATTTCGTTGAAGTGAGACGATCGAAGAAAAAAAGTTCGTTGTGGCAACAATATTTATGTGTTTACTCCTATGGACTGCTGACAAGGAATCGTGAATTTTTCGTTGTAGCGGCCTTCGTTGTAGCAAAGTTCGACTGTATTTAGAGTCCGTCATCATACGCACCAAAGAAGCTGCACAGCAGGTCTGTCGTATCCAGCGTTTGTGCGGGCATCAGTACGTCGGGTTCACCAACATTGGGTTCGGGGGTGTCGACACATTCGTCACTGTCGACATGCACGCCCGTCACCTTGGGCACAATTCCGCATCTGACAACTCTTCGGTTGTCACCACGTCAGCATCGGCACTGATGTACATGCACAAAGTGTTGCAGTCAGGCACAACACCGGCGTCAAAGAGAGCGTCACACAGCGTCTGGGCCTGGTCGCCCGCGGCACCCACAAATCGCCAATATCTTCGGCCACTTTTTTTTTTTTTCTCTTAATGCCAAACTCAAGGGCTTTCAAAAATGCCGACTTCTACTCGATTGTTATACTTTTGCACTTATTTTTGCCGCTGTCATTGTCCATCTCGTCTTTAGCGGCAGAAACTGATAAAGGTGGTGTTGCTCTTCTACAGCAAACGACAAAGAAAGCCACAATCTTTGACGCCCAGGCAGCATGCGAGGCCTCAGCGCGAAGCTGAAGAGGAGAAGGAGGTCACATGAGACGGTGAGTCGAGTTCTACAGGAGAGGGGAGGCCGGCTGGCGCGCATGCTCATGCGTGTTGCTGCACGGGCGAGTCCATTAGTTTCAGAGGAGAAGGGAAGCGGGGAGACTCGCTCCCACACGCGTGTTGGCAAGCGACTCCCGGGAAGCGCAAGGCGCAAGTTTTGAATTACCGCAGCCGTGATGAGACGTAAACCGTCGCGCGCTATAAGATATTGAGAATCGACGTATACCAAAATGATCAGTAAATGCTCATTGTGGACGGGGAATGGTTCTTTATATTAATTGCGGGAAAATTTTCACTTCGTTAAAATGAGGTTTTAAATACATGGGCACCAATAAAAATTTCAAAGAGAATTAAAATTGCTTCGTTATATCCATTAGTTTGTTTTATATCACTTTGTTATAAGGAGGTTTTACTGTACTGACATATACTGAAATAAATGGGTAGAATATACAGCATATGTGATGCCTCGAACTTACGATGTTATTTCTTGACTTATAACCTTGGGATGCGAGCAGCTGGAACCTCTGTAATGACTCTTGTTGCCTTGAAGACAGCTTTGCATTCTGCAACAAAAACTGGCTCATTAGTCTGTAACATACAACCTTGATGAGATGACACATGAAACCACATTCAAATTCATTTAAAGCATAGCATCATAACCTCTCAGCACATCTACAGTGAGATGCTTGCAATGCAGTTAATTCAGCGCAATGGACACGCCAAGGCTGGCTTAAATATGCTGGAAACACAGTAACAACTCGTTAATTCAAAGCCACTGGGACTGTGAAACATACTCTAGTGAATTGAAAAGCGGGTGAGCAGGAACTTATTCATTGTTGGGCAGCACACAAATTGGAAACACAAAAGAAGAGAACAGGAAAAGCACCTTCTTTCAAGCTTTCAATTTGTGCACCACCCAACGATGAAGAAAAATATTCGAATTAAGCAGGTTTTCAAGTTAACAAAACATACAAAAAGTTCAATACAAGGAACTTTGAATTCCTGAATGTAATCAGAAGTGGTTGCTGGCTAGTTTGCTGTTGCAAGGGTTATGTTTTTTAGCAATCACTGGTCCCGATTTTGCAGCAAGCATGAGAAAACAGCGAACATCACCTCTACCAGCGCACAATAAAAAGAGGGCGGGGGGTGTCTTGGAGACAGCTAAAATGTGCGCACCCGCAGAAAAAATGTGCTTTCCCACAACACAGTGATAGCATGTTACCTGCTCTTCGCAGCGTCACCGCGTCTTGATGCAACCATTCTTCAAGTAAAATATAGAATTTAATAACAATAGTGTGATGGAATTCGCTTTGGCTGGAAAACATCATCACTAGAGTTCTTGAACTGAATTTCGGAAGTAGGCTTTCTAGGCAAGAAGCAACCGCCAATGGATAAATCCCCTGATGGTTCTCTTTAGATAGTGTATTCTTTAATACAATCAGTCCCGGATGTATCGAATTATCGGCTATATCGAACAGTTGAGAAATACCATTGAATTTTCAATGAAAAGTATGACACCAGTGCACACGTATATCGAGCTTCCATGCAGCAGAACATCTGCTTTATCAAACGCTGCACCACGCCAAAGCCCAGAAAGTGCAAAATAATACGTAAAATTCAATAGCTCATGAAGCTACTTCATCCACTTTCTGGGTGAAGACTTAGCGCTTAAGAAAGTTCAAAACAACGCTAAAAACTTGTGCAGAAGCTTTAAGCTCGATAATTTGTCTCGATCTATTGAAAAGAACACAAAAAATCACCTTGATGTGTTCTTTTCTGCAAAAACACACAAACCAGATTGCCCGTTCCAAGCGATAGTGCCAGAAATTTAAGCTGGCAGACACATGTCCCAGTGTTTTTTAAAAAGTTCTTGAAACTTTTGCCAGTCGAAGACCTGTTTTTAGTAAGCAACTCCGAACATGTTGATTTCTTTAAAAACAATCATGACAGAAACATTGTGGCCTTCTCTATTGATGAAAAGGATCTTTTACTATTCTCTCCCTCAAGATGACTTCATGACATGTGTAGACCGTTGCTTAGGCTAGTTTGGAGCAGTACTTTTTCAAAACGCTCCAATTTTTTGAACTTCTTTACTTGTATGTTAATTCCACTTACGCCTCATGGGATGGCACTGTTGTTAAACAAAAGAATGGAATCTGTATTGTGTCTTGTATTGCTTCCTGCTTAAGTGACTTGTACCTAGCCTATCGTGATCAGGCTCTTCACGATCACCTCGAAGATCACCCTAACATTGTGCGTGTGGTTCAGATTTGTCAACGATTTTTTAAATTGTTTTAAACAATGACTGATGCAGTTTTGACAGTGATGTCTCTGAAGTTGTAACCACATTCACGAAAACCCTGTCACCATTGGTGTTGATGCATGAAGCACCCGAGGGCAATTTCATTAGGTTTTTAGACTTGGGAATCTACTTTTCATCACAGAAAGTTTGCTGGAGTTATGAGCCAAGAGGCAACAAGCCCGTCCTGCTGTTTTCCTCCGCCCTTTCAAAGGTCGTAAAACGCGCCATTATGCAATCCTGTTTTAATAGAGAGTTTTAGTACTGCGTGTGCTGCGTACGTGGCGGCGTTGCGTACGTAAGGACGCCACTTTCTGCGTAGTGCGCATGCACAGACCGCAACGCGCACGTATCGCGGTACCTACGCAGCCGTACGTACGCACGCATGAGATGCGTGCGTGCGTACGTATGAGCTGATTGCGCCGCTCTCGAGCAAGTTCGCGACAGCGCGAGACTTCGATTTGCAAAATGGCGTCATCGAAGGCAAGCACCGACCGGCTCTGTGGCTTAAAATATGGCCATAATCTGTCTATAACACTTGGATTGGCTCACATTCGCTGTCAACAACACGTGCTTCTATTTTGATCTACCAGATGACGCTACACGCTTCACGCTCGTTACGTACGCGGGTACTACGGCGTACTAAAAGCCGATTAGTGGCAAACGACGCCACGTAACGCAAGGCGCTTGCGTGATGCGTACGTAGCACCATTCCGCAGTACTAAAACTCTCTACTAACTCCCTTATGAAGTCCTGTAACCACAAGGTTGAAGGCAGTTTTCTGAACTGGGGCCAGGTTACCTAGTATGTGTGCTGAGCTCGGTCACAGAGGGCTTGAGCAGAAAGCTAAAACACCCATCCAAAGGCACAGCAAAAAAGTGGCCATCATGCCATACTTGCATGGGGTTTCGCACAACCTCAGAAGGATTTCGAGAAAGTCAAGTCCCGAACGTCTACAAAAGTTGTGTCGGCGCGTTAATTCACATTGTAACAGTGCAAATGCTTGCCTTGTAAATCATAGAACACTTTTTGCAAACTGCGTTCGCAACATTGTCTATGCTATTCTGCTTTCCTGTGGAATAACCTATGTTAGTCAAACCGGCCGATGTATCAATCAGAGATTGAAAGAGCATCAATATAATGTCACGAAAGCAATCTCAGGTTATTTGGGCATTCATTACAGAGATTGTGGACGCAAGCCTCTGTTCGAAAAAACGGCAATGTTATTTAAAGCACCTGGTAAAATGACAAGGAACATTATGGAGGCATATGAAATTGCGAGATTATCAGGCATGTGTGTTAGCCAACCATCAGTATCACTTTCTCAAAATGAGCTTCATTACCTTGATTTGACACAGTGACATGGAATTTTTGCTATGTCGTGATAATGCGATGTACACGTGCTCGGTTCAACGCTGTGATTCCGCGAGATGTTCTTTATGTTCCCGTTATTTCCGCTCGCTCGGTATATTTATCGAAAGACCAGTTGAAAGTAGCGCTCAATCTGTGTCAGTCTCTTCTATGTCCTTGCCTGCTAACGCTTACTCACATTTCATGAATTCTGTGACTTATCAGCATTTCCAGCAACCATGTCGGACAGTGAGTGACTTCCTCAGTGCAGCGTACGGCGTAGCTATTTCTGACTGCATCAATGCCGAGATCATAGTTGGCGTTGCCGGTGCCGCGCAAGTGTACCCGTGCTGTTACGAATATGTCAATGCCTTCACTGCCGCCGCTAACCAACCTTTCGCCATGCTTTTTTAAAAGCTTGCATTGGCCTTCTGCCTCAATCAACGTTGTTGTGGCCGAAGAAGCTGATATAGCTTATCTGAAAAGCTTTAATGATATTGAGGATTATTAGAACTTGACAGTGTGCATAAATCAAGGCAAGCTTACGGGCTATTTTAATGCAAAAAAGTTTATTTATACTTATACCTACAGCACCCTCTGGGGGCATTGTTGTAGGGGGGTTTACAAATTCAAAGTACATTTAAATCAGTGGGGACAAGTTGAATTGTACGACACGCAAAAAATAAAAACAAATCAAAAATACATAAATCACAGCATACAATATCATTGTGTGACCACATACTCCTTTAAAAGGGAAGGAAACGCTGTGGAAGGGGCGGTCACAATGTTTTTTGGAAGACTGTTCCATTCGTGTATAGTTTTAGGAAAAAAAAAATATTTGCATACGTTGATGTTCGGCACATATATTCACACACTTTCAAAGGATGGTCCCGTCGTGATGATATGTATGTTGGTGGTCTGATGTATTTGTTTTTATCGATCCCAGTTTTGTCGTTTATTAGGTTGTAGAAAAGACATAGCCTGATATATTTACGCCTTGAGGAGAGTAACAGCCATCCAAGTGAACTAACAATTTCGCTAGACCTTCTGGTGAAGTTGTAATCACCCATCACAAACCGGGCGGCACGTTCCTGAATGCGCTCCAATGCATCAATATTTAACTTTGTGGCCGGGTCCCAGGCAGCGCCAACATTTTCTAAAATCAGGCGTACATTTGATACGTAAAGAACTTGTTTAAGAACGGAGGGGGCGGTTCTGAAATTGTGGCGTAGGAAGTTCAGCACGCGACTGGCTTTAACTGATACCGTGCGAACATGATCATTTCACAATAGTGTGGTTTGATGACAACGCCTAAATACCTGTATTCATTTACCATGAATAATGGTATCCTTTCCCTGAAGTAATTTGTGACAAAATGCTGCTTTTTCTTGGTAAACCTAACGACACAGCCCTTTGACACGTTAAGCTGCATTTTCCATGTTCTGCACCATGCTATTACTGAGTCAAGATCTTTCTGCAGTTGTTCGGAATCTTGAGTGCACTTAATTTCACGATATATGCAGCAGTCATCTGCTTACATCCTCACTTGACTGTCCACGCATTCAGCAAGATAATTGATATAAATCAAAAAGAGAAGTGGCCCCAGGACGGAGCCTTGTGGCACTCCTGAAATGACGGCTACATGTGACGACGACGCACCATCGATGATAGTGCATTGTTTCCTACATGAGAGATAAGCTTGTAGCCATGACAGTGTGTTAGCAGATATATTGACACATGATAATTTCAGTAAAAGGAGCGAGTGTGTAACAACGTCAAAAGCCTTCCTAAAATCTAAAAAAATGTAATCATTTTGGCTACCGGAATTTAACGTTGCGGCGATGTCATGTGTAAATTCTACGAGTTGCGTATCGCAGGAAAACCCTTTTCAGAAACGGTGCTGTGTTGGACAGA